ACTTTTTTCTTTCTTCTTTTTGAAATTCTATATATGTATATATTATATTGGAAATAACCGTGAATATATATATATATTCCAATGATAACACCCCATACGTGGATGATTTGGCGTGCATAGCGCGCCATATACGCTAGTACTGACAAAAAGCCCACGGTGGATTTAGTAACAGTTAAATTAAGCAACTAATATTCTTTATTGGGTAATGACCTAGTCATGAAACTGAGTGCATTACATGCGCGAACTTCAAATAAATCATGGATAAAACATTCAGAGTAAGGATATTCAGAGTAAGAAAGCTCTTGAGAGAGATAAATTGTTAGGATTTGTAGTCCTGAACAAATACGTTAATAAAACATCGAAGACGAATTGTTATTTCTTCGTTATTACACATGTGGTGTTTTATGACGGCGGAATTTTCCATCCATTGTGGTAAAGTTACTCAATTCCAAGATTAATCAAATGTGTGCATACTTTTATCAAGACGGGATGCTGTTGGCTCGAATCATTTCAGATTTGAATCGAGAAAAAAAGATTGAATCAATGGTGTAAACACCTGATCGACACATTTTCCCCCGTGTATGACACTTGCTGGTCTGACAAGATTTACCTAGCCACAATGTTCATTTTAGCAAAGCCACTGTAAATTTCATTCTAGGAATATGGAGATTTATTGTAATCCCCGTCAAAACATTTTGCATCTCACGTTTTGCTGTATTCATAATCTTCCCAATTTTAGAGTAGCTTCCTAAATCTGTGTAGGGTATGGACAATTGTTCAGATATATCTTGTGTCTGCTCAATATATTAATGTAGACCGAAATATTTCTATCGAATGAAATGTCCGTAATCAGTGGACACAGCAGCATCCTCAGAAACAATGTTATAATTAAATCATTCGGATCGATGATTATTTTTTAATTGCTCATGAGTACTGAATAGTGGAGTATGCCATTACAGTCGAAAATTCTAGAATTGCTGGAATTATTCAACAGATTAGTCAGAATGAGCGGATGGTAGTTGCAGTAAATAATAAAGCATCCGGCATGGAGTTGATCCCGGGCATTAATTCGATACGCTGAATTAACTTTCAGCTCTTTCCGATATTATAAAATTTCGTTTCTCCAATTTACTCATCCCACAGTTCAATTGATGTTCTCCCAAACAATTGCTAGAATGCGCCGTTTAATTAATGGGGAGAGCATCGAATCGAGTGTTTACGTCGATAAAACGAGGGGCAGAAGTCATACCAAAAACGATTATTTTTTAAATTGTAATTGAAACATTAGTTCAACCCTGTTCACGAATTTTCGTATGAAATTTCTCTGCTTTTATAAAGCTACGAAAAATTCTCGTTAAATCATGATGTTGGTGGAAATGAAGCGCAAACTTCTGAAGCGAAAAAAATTTAATGCTGAATAAATATAGTCTCACTTTTCTGCATTCCAATTAGTGGACTTCACTTCGTCAATTTATGCATTTATTGAACTAGAAATTGATGTGGACGATCTTGTGTCTACAGATAATTAACTATATGACGATTTCGGAATTCTGTTTTGAATCCGAAGAATCTATGTGACACATTACGATTTTGATGCAAACATTTTCGCAGTGCTTATTCTATCATTTCTCTTAGAATCCGAAATCCAGCGGTGACAGAACGAAGATTTACTCCATGAATACTCACAATATTCGTTATTCTCAGATCTAGGTTAATTGAATTTAATCAACTGATTGAATCATACATCAAATCGAAATCTGCGTATGTCGTTTGAGCCATTGGCATCAAAGGAAGATGACGCTATGCCCACAGATAATTAGGTCAGGTGATGACTGTGTGACATAGCAGCCGAGTAAAACGGGATTGATAATTGAATTTGTAAAGTATCTTCATTACCACCAATCCTGATTAATTGCAGATCTGTTTGTAGAAAAATTTTAGAAACAGAATCTAGTGAAGCCTTGAAAACAGGACGCAAAGTGACGGTCAGGAAAACCTCCTGTAGGTGGTGCCGAAATGTTTTTCGTTTCAGAATCAATTTTATTTCTGAAATAAGGGAAAATTGAAGTGCTAGCTCTACAGTTTTGCCAGACCGGCAATCGCGTTCTGGTTTCAATATTTCACTGGAATTTCTCTCGATAAACAGAGATAATTTTCTGTAATTCCCAACAACATCATCCTTTATAAATTTTTCTGATTTATAATTTGTGACCTAGACTGCACCTTTGAATTTATTAACTTTAAATCACTTCATCTTCTATGACTGGTGCTTGTGTAGATGTACGAGACTTCTTACTCTTCCTCCTTTCTAGAGTTATAAATTTATAAATGACTTCATTGAAATCATACGAGCGCTTGGTGATACCCAAGGTTGGCGACGGGCATGCGGCTGGTATAAAACCCATAAAGATCATGTATGATCTGATTTCCAGTTTCATCTGAGTTGGACCGACGTTATTGTCGTCCAGATCTCTAGCTTCGATTTCGCTTGGCTAATTTCCCATCAATTTCTAATACGATATGAATGTCACATAAGATTTTACCCAATTTTTCCACCTTCTTCGGGAGAAATCTTGCGATCATAAGATTACACGGTACAAGTTATGCGGCAAGAAGTATTCAGTCATAATTACGGAAAGCGAGAAAATTTACCGTGCACCAGTGCGCGGGTATGAAACGATTTCTGTAAGAGTGTTACGACTTTGGAATGTCGCGCCGCTTTAGGCGGACCAATAAGGAATCGGGGTTTCATGAGTTCGAGATTTTCGAGATAATCGATTGTGTCAAGCGTGTCCCTTTTAGAATAGGATTTTCGAGATAATCGATTGTGTCAAGCGTGTCCCTTTTAGAATAGGAATCCATGTAATATATTTCTATACGAATGAACGAAATTAAATCTGAAACGTTCATTAGTATAAAATCGAAACAGTAATTAGTAATTTCATCAGAAAAAAATTCTTATGCCTAAAAAAATACTCCATCTCGAAACGTAATTTCTTACTTTTTGTTTTCGGATTTAATTCTTCGGATTTTTTTCTTTGTACGTGATTATTAATTTTAATCCGCGTTGACTGAATGCGTGCCCCATTGTTAATATAATTTAGTTAAGGCGCCGCTCACCGCGATTGTTATATTGTACATTATACTTGATATTTTGTTAATGACAGGAGAGCCAAAACCTCGGGTGATGTGGTTTCTCGAGGGTAGAATGATCGACGCAACGTACGAAGAACGTGAGGTCCAGGGACCCACTGGTGAGATTAACACGGTAACTGTGAATCGTGTCACACTCAGGCATCTAGCCAGGAGCCAGCATCATGCCAAATTGACGTGCAAAGCAAATAATACTAATCTTGCGGATCCACCATCTACTAACTTCGTCATCGAGCTAAACAGTAAGTCATCTATATGATTTCCTCTGCATAAAAAAATAATTGAAAACATGTAAAACAATCCGTACGTTTTCATCCAAGAATTTCTATGTTCTGAGGCATAATAAGTGTTGAAGTTTCGTTCGATTTTAAAACTTCAAGAAAAAATACGTGACTTTTTCGTATTTTTTGGTGACAGAACCTGAAAATTTACTGAAAGTTCCAGATTTATTCCCTGAGAACGATTCTCGCTTGCGAATTACGTGAAATTTTCCGTCATTTTCCTTGAATATTTCTCTTCGTGTATACTTATAGGTCGAGCCAACTGACGAAAAATAGTTTTCGTTGATATATTTTATATTTATATTTTAAGAGGATTCGAGGGACTTCAGCCAATGGAATACATGCGAATGTTTATAAAATAAATTTGTTCGTGCTTGAGTATTTTTCCTATAGTTCTAAGCGCTGCGGTTTTCAATATTATTTAATGCGATGAAAATGAGACTCACAGAGTAGTGACTTGATGAATTAGAGGTACAGAAGTGTTTTGATAAATCTCGAATGTGCGCTGGATCTCCCCAGGAGTTCCTGTTTCCGCAGTTCTGGTTAATTTATTTTAACTCTTGAAGGGGAGTGTGCTGGAGATACTGATAATGCGTTCTGATATTGGGATCTCTTATTTCACAGAGATCGAGAATATGGTCCAATTTGTTTCCGGAGAATTTTGTTGTTAGTGCCTCTAGAAGAGTATTCCTAATTCAAGAATATTTCTGTAAAAAAAACAAATGTTAAGTACTCGATTAAATAATTATTTGACAAAATCGCTTGAGTTGGGATCGCTTTCGTTGGATTCGATTTGATTTATTATTCGATTATTAAATTCGGTGTTGAGTTTTGAGATGATAGAAGTAACTGTGAAATCGTTATCGCTTCGCTACTGAATTTAATTTCAATTCATGGTAATTAATGGATGAGTAGATAATAATGAGAGGAATTACTGCATGCTATCAGTGCATGATTAACGATCGGATGTAATCAATCCGAAAATTTGCTGAACATTGTCAGAATATTCTCGGGAATTTTTCTTAACCACTCTTTAATCAATGAATAATTGTTTAAACTATTGAACAAAGTTTCTGCGACAATTGAAACAGCAGGAATACATTTTTGAATTTTTTATTGTGAATTCAGAATAGGTTGCGTCATTCTGGTGGAAAATTACATTCGATTTATTTTTAAGTGACCGTCATTAATTATGACAATAATATTCAATGGAATATGAATTTTCAATTTCTACCGAAACTTGTCTATCACGAAAACCTCAAAAATTCATTCTGACGTATTTTTCGAAATTCGCAAATCACTTTCAGAAAATTTCAGTTTGAAACGGATGGCCAGGGGACCTGTACTATTTAAACTTCACATAAACCGAGGAATGTGAACCAGCAGTTTGAAATTGGAGACGATTTACCAAAAACTGGAAACATCTACTTGACAAATGGGACTTTTTTATTTGAAGTTCAAAAGTCAATTACTGCTGGTAGAATTCCTTGAACTTCATCCCCTCGAATAGGTGTCCATTATTTCGAACCGCCAATTTCTATTTAGAATGTTCTCCTCAGATCTCAAATTTCTCCGAATTTCCTCTAGATTCGAACTCGAGTTTTCTGTGAGCACACCCCGGACTGAATCCCAACTGCTAATTGAAATAAATATTTAAACTTCCCTTCAGGGGGATGCAATGTTAAAGTTGTTTCCAAAACTGTCCTTGATCGTCCGAAGGGTTGCCTGACCTGCACAAAAAATTTATCACTCGCCCGAGATAATCCTTCAAACATCCTCAAATATTGATCATGATGGAATAAAAAAAAAAGATTTAAAATTCTTTCAATTCCGTTTTTTATCAATTTACATTTATCAGTCTTCTCGCGATTAATAATTGTACCCACTAATCCTGAGAGAGTAATTTCTAATTATTCATCATCGCTGTAGTGCAATCGTTTCGCAAATGCGAAATATGATTCTCAAAATTAAAGATACTGAATGATAAAAAATAACGTGAAAGAAATGGAGAAATTGAATTGCTGAGCAGGTAAATAAATATTGGATTAATGAATCACAAAAAAAAACAAGTGTCAAAGGTTGAATATTGGCAGAGAGAAGCTTATTACAGAAGTTGAACATTTTTTCCTTAATATTTTCTGCATCTCCTTTGATATCATCCCTTGAGAAGATATTGAATCCACATAAAGAACCTATTTAAACCGACTTCACTGCAATCCGTCTTTGAAATCAGCGAATGCGGAAGTAAAATATATATATTTACTGAATAAACTTACGTGGGAATATATTCTATAAAAGTCTTCCTCGAATTATCAATACTCATATTGCGATATCGAAAAATAATTTCAAAATCTAATTCCTTCAAAACGAATCCCGTTGTAATGAAAAGCTTGAGTTACAAAATAATTTTTTTTTATTTTGATAATTATAATACGTATATATATAATTTATTTAGTAAAAATTAAAAATTTTGTGAATTTATTATGTTATAAAATAACTGAATGATTTAAATGAATAAAAATAAATTAAAAAAATAAATAAATGAATTAAAACGATTTAACGGAATATATCGTTAAAAATTTTATTTATGGAATATAAATATAAATCTTGTTAAACATCATATGTAATTTAATATATCCCCAAAGAAAGAAGATGGACGCGAAATTTCTTAGAAAAAGTGACAGTTTCACATGACTTGAGGATTTTCCCTTGAAATAAATAAACAAAACTTGTAGTTACTAGCTATTCATACCAGATTGATGAAAATTGTGTTTATTTTAAGGAAAAATAACAAAAAGTCCTTCTTTTTATTTGTAATCACACAATTCCATGAGATTGCAAATAGATAAATTTTGAAAAAGAAAATTCGAAACAAGTGAAACGTTTAATTGGTCTGCAGTGATATTGAAACATTTTTCACGGATTACACGGCAAATGGAAAACTTCGAACCCGAAGCGAGCATACGTATCGGCAAGGATTGATGGTGAGCGTCAAAAACCAATCAAAGCCCCTGGCGCGATACGTAACATTAATAACAGAAATGGCGAGAGCCATACAACTCTAGTGCAGTTGGGGGTAAAAGTCGACACTTTACCTTTCCCCTTTTCACTCAGCCATCGTGCGCATGCGAATTAAATGTCTGCAAGGTGAAAAGCCCTGGCGTTTAAACAGAAAATGTTGGAGCACGAGCTAGGTGAGCTCATACTACACCTCGTTCGATATTAAATTTAATTTTACGGCGTGAAACTGCATGGAGCCTCGATACACCCACCAGCTCGTACCGCATTGTCATTCGAGTTGTTTCCCGTCAAATCTCTGGTGGTATTCACTTTGATTTGCAGCCTTGTTATGGCCGGAGTATGTTACACGCGCATTTCTCCATTGGGGTATATTTAGTACAGGATAAATATGAATCGAGTGACAGGAGTATATAAATCAATATTGTGCAGAGTGCGTTGAATGGGTCGGGATGAAAAAAAAAATGACGGATCTTTTTCAGAAAATTAGTTCTTCAATTGTTCGTATCATCCCGTTAAAATGAGGTAGTCAAATTTTGCTTAATTATTTGATAGATTCGCAACAGCTAATTAGTCTCAGCCTCGCGCAGATTTTTTCTCAAATTCTATCGATTTTCATTTTTTGATTTTTTCGGGCAGAATCCCCTTGTTTACAAAAAAATAAAAAAAATAATTGGTAATAGTATAATAGAGCATTTCATCTAATTTTCAATTTTTCTGAGTTATTATTCATCTTAATAATGAATAGTAGACCGGACAGAGTCGACCTTTGGTGGAGTTCATACCAGTCGCGTCCCCGTCGCGAACCCTGGGTCATGCTAAGTGCTGGTGAGGCTTGAAACATTTTGAAAAGTGCTTCACCACGCGTTGAATTATTGTAAATACCTCATAACATTGTTTAGTTAATTAAAAATTAACTGCTCTTTGGATGAAAACCGAAGTAGGGGGTGCCATATAGGGTACACCTACATCAGCATCCACCAAAATAAGTGAGATGACTCAAAAAGGTTAAATTCATTAATAGGTGTTCAGTTCGGACACTAAGGATGTTCATTTACTGAAGGATATACCTCAAATTGAAAATATCATGCAACGGAATAAGTTGGAAATAGAAGTAGTTCTTATAGATTTTCGCCAAATAGTCATCTAAGGCATACGAAATAATTCGAGGCTGTTGAATGATGGTTTAAAATCCCATTAAAAACATTTTTATCCATGTTTTTGGTGTGAATCCCCTGAATAATTACCCGAAATTTTTCCGAAATGAAATAAATACTGACATTTACTTTCTCCAGTTATTTTAATTCGAAAAACTTTACGATACACCGTCTAATTTAACTCTACTCTCATTTACATAAATCAACAAGATATACCATGAGGAAAAATTCAGTGAAACTCCCTCATTATAGTCAGCCATCGAGCTGTTGAGAAATTCTCTAGCACAGGAGCAGCAACAAATTAATTCACTATTAACATAAATTGAAATTTACTCGAATGAATTGAATTCTCCAAGAATTTAAATACGCTTGTACTCAACATTATTCAACCAAAACTTTTGAATAACTCATACGATATAATTAGAGCTGGACGGCTCCCCAAAAACGTTCAAAAGTTTCATGTGTTATGAGTAGCCGATACAATGGCCTTTAACAATGATTAATTTCTTGGGTGGAGGTCGATGTTGCATTCGCGCGTGTAGAGAGAATTTAGCTTGTACATAATGTGTTTGGAGAAGGTAACAAAGTTCATGAGGGTAATGCCACTCGGTAGCAGTGATTTTGAAATTGGATGGGATTGGAGAGGTGTATGGTAATGCCAGTGGACCGAGCCGTTGCCAAATTATAGCAATAATATGAGTCTTCCAACCTAAACTGCGAGGGGAAACCCGGAGCTGTAAGCCAGTGACAATTGGAGGGGAATCCTCGGTAGTGCTATCACTGCAA